GGGCTGTTGGCAGCCACCTGAGGTTCCACATGGAGAAAGGCAGGCTGCAGTGATGGAGTGGAGATGGGGGAAGCAGAAGTAGAGAAAGAGCCCTGGGGTCTCTGGAGACCTAGGTGTACTTCTCCCATCCTACACTTTGGTTGTTCCACCCCTTTGGGAACCTCAGAGCCAATGCATCCATCTCCTCTCCTGACCCAGTGGTTTTGCCTTTGATGTGCCCAATGAGCAAAAGTATCTAACAGACATAGCCGCATGTGTCCCATCCAATATGGTAGCCACCCTATCTCAAGAAATGGGGTTGGAGCTGAGCATGGTGGCACACGCCTGTAATCCCAGTACTTGGGAGGCTGAGGCAGGAGGATCACCATGAGTTTGAGGCCAGCCCGGGCTACATAGCAAGTTCAAGACTAGTCTAAACTACGTAGCAAGACCTCATTTTAAAATACCAAAACCAGGGCTGGGGATTTAGCTCAGTGCCACTGCGCCTGCCTTGCAAGCACAAGGTCCTGAGTTCAATTCCCAATACATAAAAAACAAACCCAGGTGGGTTTGAAGTGCCTACCAATACATGGTGGGTAACCATTCAGGGCCACCATGAGCACTGTGGTTGGTCAAGCCCAGCAGGTCCTTGTCACAGAGGAAGTAATGGCCCACCCTGCTTTTTTCATCTCAGATGTGCTTCTATAAAGCTGGGCTTTCAGGCTGCACAGGGCCAGAAGCTTGCTGGGGGCGTGAGGCCGAAGACAGAGCCTCCTACCATCTTCATTGACCTGCGGCGGACAGAGCCACTGGAGCCACAAGACCAGTCCCCAGAAAGGTACAGAGCAGAGTCTGCCTGCAGCTCTCTGCTTGACAGAGGTCACCCACTGGCCCCATGAGGCCTTGGCAGTTCCAACAGGGAGCAGCAGGAACTTGGAAAGAGTTGGAATATCGCTTATTTGACAAGCGCATTAAGCTAGGAACTGAGCATGGCCAGTCCCACTTGGTCCCCTGCAGAGGGAAGGAGAGGGGAAGAGGGCAAACCTCATCTAGGCTGGAGTCCACCTATACCCTCCCTCCATCACTCAGCAGGAAGTCCAGTGGCCCAGTGGTTTTGGCTGTTGCACTTTAGCTGGCTGCCTGCCACCCCAGGCCTTAGATCCCCCTTGGTGCACTGGGATACATGCAAAGAACCCATTTCCTCTCCTCCCCAGCTCCAGCCACAGCTCCTCTGACAGTGGAGAGGAGGAGGATGAAGATGAATATGAGGAAGAGGACACAGCAGCTCTAGGAGACCATCAGGGCCCAGCACAGCAGGCATCTCTTTCCTCCTGGGGCCTAAGGTAACCACAGGCCCGCCACCTGCCTCTGCTGCCCTGGCATCCTGGCCCTCTGGGCTCTTAACCCTGTCCTGCACCCTAAGGACCTGCCTGTGAGGGTGGGTGGGGCCTGGGACCTGTGGGAGCCCCATTGGGCCTAGCTCTGTCCCAACCTGGCCTGCTGGGCCTTGGGCATCATTGAGGACACCCCAGCACCTCTTGAGGATGGCTTAGTACATTCTCTTTCCAAAAACCAGCTCCCCATGTGCTCTTGCTCCCTGTCCCAGTGGCAGTGGAAGCGAAGAGGAAGTGTGGCAATGGAATGAAGTGGTGGTTGTTAGCCAAGAATGAAAGGCTTGGGTGAATTAAAGTGTCAGGTTCAGGGAAGTGAGGAGGCTCCACTGTGACCTAGAGGCGAATGAAAATCACTGACTGTGGCAGTGACTAGCACTGGAATGTCCGGCCTCATGTGGCCTTACCCCCATGCACTGTGCGATTGATTAGGCATCGCAGAAAAAAAAAAAAGCAGGAAGAAAACAGGTGCAGCAGTAAACAGGTCCCCTGCCGGAAGCCGGTGACATAATTAATATGCAGCAAGACCACAGGGCAGGAGCTGCAGCCTCCCGCTGTGCGTGCTGAGACCCAAGGACACACTTGGAGCTCACCCTCGCTTTTCCTGGAGGTATCTCTCCTCCCCTCGCCAGTGGCCCTGCACAAGGCCATGCTTCCTCGGCAAGGGTCAGTGTCTGGGCAAAGGTCTGCATGCTCCTGCTGGTCTCACTGCACAGCCCCTGAACTGAGCATCTCCTTCCTGGTCTGCAGTTCTGAGTCAGGT